GAATATTTAAACACTAAACTTGCTTCATCGATGAAACTTTATAGTTTGGGATTTTTAATTTTCTTCACGCATATATTATATATTCGCATAATCTTTCTAAATCAGACAACATTACAATATGTTTTCAAAACTGCGAGATATACATGACAATTATCACTAGATATATTTATCTATTTTCATTCGATAAATACTGTTAACACGATATACTTATAATTCCCGCAAGAAAATTGCTGGATCATGGCAAAAAGTATTGTTACGTAAGCTGCAATAATAGCTAACAGTAAACAAGATTGCATGAAATTTTCCATTGATGAAGAGGCATGATGGCGAGGATGGTGGTTGGTGAGGGCGGGTAGGGGGGTGTGGCGTTAGAGCTTGAGGGGCGTGGGGGATTGGGTGATTGGGAGGGAGGGGGGAGGTCAATAATACACCGTACAGACGAGCAACGAGTTCATCGGTTATAAGGTCGATCCGTAATTTGACTTTAGCGCGGTTTGAATAATCGATACCTATGTAGCCCAATGTAGCCCAATTCCCGGAAATAGAGGCGAACCAGATCGGCAGTTAAATTGGCTGGAAATTATCTTGCTGCACACCCTCTCGACCGTTTCACCCATCCAGTATAATATCCTACTACTCCCTCCCATTGCAAAAGCTTCGAACGCTTGCATCGCATGTATCGAAATTACTAACTAACAGTGTTTCTATATTTTCATTAGGGTCACATTTAAAGCTCGCAAGCTTATATTTCAAATTTCAAGGATAATTTTTTATCAACTCCCTCGCTTTTGTGTACGCGCTGGGAAAGTTGTTTCGCCATTTTATATTTAATTACGTGGTATCATTTTTAATGATTATATGATTTGTCATAGTAAAGTCTCGAATCTTATAAAACAACTGTTTTTGATAAAAATTTTGAAACAATATTAATTTTTGAATATATGCTATTTTGATCTTTTTATGAAAATAAAAAACTATCTTATTTTGATAAGGTATTATACTTATTTAGGGAGACAATAAAATCATCTATTGCTATTATTGATAATTATAGCTTTATCATTTATTTCTTATACTAATAGCTTTATTATAAAATATTCATACACATCCACACGCGATTGTTAGTATTTCGATAAGTTGATAATTAATTAATCGCTATATGAATTATTTATTATTATATAATTCAAATATTTATTTTCCTATTATTAAAACTCTAAAAATAACTAATGGGTATGGATAAAAAATAATGAAATTCTGAATTGAATTATGATAAATTATGATAAAACCGTGGCTACAAATAGAAATTTATTCGTAATAGTCGCTGTTGCTGACTATACGGCGAATATCAAACGTTAATATCAAATATTTCTTTTATTTACCTGATTACGATTTTAATGATTTAACATTAATTTCTATAATATCAATAATATGCAAGCCCGAGCATATACAAGCTACACGATAACTTTACGTGATAATATATATATATGAAATTTAAGACTAATATAAAAAATCAATTAAATGCAATGAAGTCGACGCTACAGACAAAAGAAATTTTATTCATCCTAATCCAGATCCAAGATTAGACTGGATCAAGATCAACTATTCTCGATGATTAAATAAGACAATGCAAGCTTTTCATCAACTTCGACAAAATTACGGATGGGTAAAGAGGATAAAAAGCGGCAGATAAATACAATGTCACGGACAAGTTCGAATCTATACAAACACATCAACTACAGATCAAATGTAAACACGTAACTTGAACAAAGTTACTCTCTCTCTCTCTCACTCTCTCTCACTTTATCACGCTATAATAGGTCAATGAACGTATAATAATGTAAAATAATTTTAAATGTCTATTCATAGGAAGGAATCTTAGGATAATTTAATTTACTTAGAACTTGGAACAATGGAATATGGATATATTAAAAAAATTTATATTTATAGACTAATTGATGTATGTATAAAGTTAAAATTCTACATTATAAAGCACAAACGAATAATATTTTGAAAATTATTTATCAATAACTATAACAACTTGATATATCTATTTACAGTTCCCTATCGTCTAAATTTATTGTAATCTAACTTATTATCAGAGAGTTTTATTATTTTAAAAATATCGCTAAATTTGCAAATATGTATCGAGGGTACAAAGAGCACAAGTGCAAAAGTGCAAAAGTGCAAAAGTGCAATAATGCAATGCGAATATAAAAGAATTTGAATAATAATGTAGCATTGTAAAGTAAATAGTGAAATAAATAGTTAATTTTCTCTAAAAGGAAAATGAAATCTTCGTATCGGAATCTTTATGTTCCAAGATTCATTAGTCATCCTTCTTATACTTTGGTAAAGTAAGGCTGAGCGGTTTTTGTAAAGTCGCAGCACTTCGTCTCTCAAACCCATTGAGCCGTCTCTTAAGACTTTTTCTATATACAGTTGAGGGGATCAATCGTTACAGAAAATGGTGCCATCGAATCTTATCTATATAGCTTCCTCCTTTTCCTGCATTGACACGTCTTTAGCCATGGCATCGAGTATATTGCTTGCCTTGGTAAGTTAGTTTTCTATGCCGTACTCCCCCTCCCGCCCCCCACGCGCTACCAGCTTCATCCAAATAGACCTACTTTTAATGCGAATGACGAACCTACAGAATGATCGTAAAAGAATAAGCGCATTCAAAGTTGAATAAAACTTGGTGGAAAATGCGACGAAAAAACCGAGATCAGGATTCGAACTCAAGGCGCTTTAAGTATAGAAATCCTTTAGGAGTAGTTCACTAACCACAACTCTAAATAAATAAAAAGTAAAATAAACGTTTTAGAGGGTGGAGTTCAAGGCAAGATGAGAAAATAAAATTAGACGAAAGTACAATATGAAACTTGAATAAACGTGAAAGGATCGACGATTAAAGACATAAATATCATAAAGTTCGAATTTTACTAAATCGTCGCTATTCTTATCGAAATACAATAATACGGCGATTAAATGCAATATATGAAATCTTTTTAATCTTCCTCTAATATTGATTATTATATTTAGTCCAATATTCCATCCCGATAAGGCTTGTTTATTACAGATTATATTAATACAGAATAGATATGGGATGCTTAGAAAAGTTAAAGAAAAAAAAAATATCAATTGATATGCCTATAATTTCGGAGCCTAAGTACTCTCCAACTATATGATAATAATCAAAAGTATTACACGTTATTACAGATTGTAAATGTCAGTGTTGCATTAATTAATAATCATTGTTTGATACATAAAGTGTCGAAATAAATGAGAATATGATTAAATCTAATAATATGAAGTATCCTTAAAATCTATAACAAATCATCCGTATTAATGCATCGACATAATATGGCTTGTCATTAAAATGGGCTCAAACGATATTAATAATAGATTTAGAATATTAAAAAGAATTTTCAATTAATCAAAGTAAAAATTTAAAAAAAAAAAAAAAAAAAAAAAAAAAAAAATAGTAAAAAGAAAGATGAAAAAAATTTAAACTATTAGATGAAAGGAAAAATTTATGTAGGTAAAATGAAACGTAAGTTATATAAAAATTATATTTATAATTCTTGAATTATTTATAATATAAAAAATTTATTATAATAAATATATTCATCTTGCGTTTTAATTTCTCTTTTAAAAAGCGCATGAGTGAGTGTAAAGACAAAAATTTTTAGAGCACTTTAGAGCAGAACGATCGTATTGAAGACAAAGGAAGAACTTTTATTTCACGTATGGTCAATAAAATAGGACTTAGATCTCGATTATTACGAACGACCAGATTCGAGTTTAGTATTAGTACACTATACACGATAACGACATATTCCAATTGCCATTTGAAATTATGTTTTAAGCTTGAATAACCATAAAGTATTAGTCTTTATTGTGGCTTGACAGTCGGATGAAGTTGAACGCGGAGTAGGGATAAACGTGTGGTCAGGTGCTAGCAAAATGGTAGGGGGAAAGTGATGGAGAGTGAAGTTACTATGCATAGGAATATAGCTATAGACAAAGTAAACACGTGCTTCTAAACTGTAATAAAGTTTAAAATTAGTGTAATATCCAAGTTACTATAATATGCTGCGTAAGCGAAGTTTGGATATAATTAAACTTTCACTAAATTCTTGTAAATGTCAAATCAATATGACAAGTATAGATTAATATCGATTAATATTTTTCTATAATCTGAAAATTAACTGGGTTTTTGTTTAAATGAGCAATATATTTCCTTAAGCTTCTTTCTCATTCTTATGTAAAAGTCGTGTCGTTAGATCAGCAATTAATGTATAACGAAAAATTACTGAAATTTGCGCTATGTCGATTGTTATTAAGCGTCACTCGATACTTTACTTCGATATTCTTCAAATTTTTTCATTTTGGTCGTATCTCTATTATTCTCAAATATAACAGTTTTTGTTAAAAGGTTATGAATAACCGCGCTAAGCTTATTTTAATACGGATGTACTTCATCACTGATCTATAATAAGGATTGATAAATTTATCCGACTTATTTGTCACTAAGCCGTTTTAACATTTCAGAAAGAGGATAATGGGTGTCAACATGAATCGCGACTTTTCAAACTCGAAACTTCTTGTGGAGAAAAAGTGGATACAACATTTCTTGATAATTTCTAAAAGTATTTTCGAGGGTACTGTATAATATATATGTTTTATATTCAAAATCATATCCACCTTTCGATTGTCATTAAATTCATTTTGGTCTTCTTAGCTTTTAAGTTAATTATGAAGAAAAAATCTCTTATATTGGTAAATAAGTTTTCTTATGCCCAATAGACTTATTGTATAGATTTATATTTTTAATTAAAAAATTCAAAAAAATATATATATATAATTTCAATTCGAATTTACACATATAAATATTTTTTTATGAAAAAATAGATGTCTAATTTGTATGTTAAGTGACATATTTTTCTCTCAAGTAGGCCCACGCTGTGAACAAAAATTGTTTCAAATTTCAAAAGACTTACAATGCAGATCCGTATAACTCAAAGACTGCCTGCGAATTCTACCCTGCGATGTATTTTTGCTCTTGACACTTAGTCGGCACCACATATTCACCTGCACGTAAGACCAGAGCTTTAGAAAGAGTATGGCATACAGCATACACACGTACATGGCACCAACTGCAATAAATATTATTTTATAAAATCTTACATATTGCGTAATATTTCGTTCGCCAGAAGAATGTTCTGACAAAGAGGAATTTAAGAACATTATTTTACGAATTCAAACTCGACATTCACATGCTTACATTTCTATAATTAATTATGAAAGATAAATCAATTTGACAATCTTAATGATTGATTCGCACACTTGATAGCTTTGTATTTCTAATAACATTGTAACGAAAAGAAAAATTGCATTTTCTAATAACAAGAAATTTGAAGATAATATGTATAAAAAGCTGCTTAAGTGCTAATTAAGTATTTCAATAATATGACAATTGACAGTATTGACAGTATAAGAGTTTCACAAGATTTTAAAAGCATTTGTTTACCAAGACTATGAAAAATATATGATAATATTTATTATATAAACATAATTCCTTTAAATAATTACTATGACTACGTGAGAGACTAAATAAAGTTTAGTGTATTAAGAAATGGTGTTCTCTATTTATTGGAAATATTGAAAGTGTAATGAATAAGTAAATTACAATTTAATAATAACGATGCTATTAATGTGATACTAATTACTAATTCTTTTAAAGTAGCTACGATGAATAAAGAATATGAAATTACTTTAAATTTAATTTATTTTAATGAAATTGTAACGATAAGTCAAATTTATGAACATAATTTATCAACTAGAATACGAAAAATTTCAACGCCAATTAAACTTTGGTTTATTTTTTGTTTTTTGTTTTGTTTTTTTTTTGTTTTTTTTTTTTGTTGTTTTTTTTTGTTTTTGTTACTGTATAATAGAAATCAGTAAACAGTCATTTTGCGACTCACATTGAAGATTTAAAGACAAGTTTTGCTCGAAAAAATAAATAAAATATATTGGATGTACATATTTGACAGCAATAATTTAAAAAAAAAAAATAAAATAAAATCATAATAAATATAATGAAAGATTAATCGGATAGAAAAGACTTTGTATTTCATCTATAATTATAAATCCACGTTCCTCGAAAATATTTGTTAAAAGAAAATTGTAGACTCTATTTATTCTATGTTGAAGTACTTGTATTCATGGTCAATTTATGTGCATTTATGTTAAGCTCCCACCAACACATACATACATAATGCATAGAAATGGTACAACCGATTAAAATAAAATAATATATTATTTATCACGAAATCACCTCCTACCATACGTAATTTTAGTAATCCAAGTAAGCGAGTAAACAGTATACATACGTTCTTACGAAAAACATCCAAGTCATAATTTTCTGGTTATGTACTCGTGATACATCAAGTCCGAGAAATGAAAGCTACTTAAAAACATCATCTTTTCTATTGCGTAATACAGAATTTTACGTAGTGTGACTGAATCGTATAAGAAAAAGCGCATAAACGGCGCGATACCTATTTCGTGCAAACCTCGTATACATATATATATATATATATATATATATATATATATATATATATATATATATATATATGTATATATATGTATGTATAAGTATAAGGGTACAAGCGTATACATACAACACACACGTACGTATAAGCGTACACACACGCTCACGGGCGCGCGCACACAAACACACATAAATGCTTAATGTTTTAAAGAATATGCAATGCCATTTTTGTTTATATATATATATATATATATGAAGATGGCGTCAATAATACTGATTAAAGCTATTGTGGATGCAATATATTTAGATGCATATTGAGAGATAAGAGAAATTTTCATTTTTTCTCAATAGAATAATCGATAAATTGTTTATTAATTTATGCCTGAATGATAATTATTAAAATAGATATATGTACTAACCAACTTATAAATGAATAACATAATTCTTATTATCTTACGTTATATTCTCCTAAAATATATAATTTTCGGAAAATATTTATCATTACCATTACATTTTATTACAATATAAAAGTCTATTTAATGATAAAGTATTCTTATTTTATAAATATATTTAATAATAAAATAATAATATAATAATAATAAGGTTATTAATAATAACACATCGCTTCTAGTAATATGAAAAAAAAAACAAATTAATTTTCGCAAATCATAATATTAATGTAAAGTTCAAATGTATAATTTATATATATATTTTGCAATTCCTTTGTTTTAAAAACTATTAATGTAGCTTTATATTTCTACGAATGAAAAGTAACGGAATAAAGGAAATTTACTGTCCTAAATGGAATTTTTGATCAGTGGAAATTACTTGACGAAAATAATGGGGCGAACAGAACAAATTTTTCCTTGTAATAACAGAAATATTCTTGTATAATAGAAATACCTTGTAATAACAGAAATCTAAACAGTGTAAAAAATAAAACATACCAAACAGTATCAAATTAATATGATCTCTGATAAATCAATTAGTACATTTTAACTTATGGAATGTTCGTTTACCATTTTGTACTCTATTATGTCGTATTCAATCCTTTACAAATGTCAATGTCACATGCTATTCATAAATGCATGAAATTATATGAGATATTTGATTCTGTCAACTTTCAAAATTATTGCTACAAAATTATTTTTCATTGTACAGAGAGTGAGGAAAAATGATTTATTTATTTTAGGATATTTAGAACTATCGAATTAGCAATTATATCGATAAAATAAAAAACCTAATGAAAAAAGTATTTGATAAAGCGGTTAGCAATAATTTACTTCGCGTATGAAATTTCATTCACGTATAATTTAAATATATTATAGATCAAAAATGATATTCGAGTGGAAAACTGGATCGTTAATAAAATATGGCTTGATGAAAAATATATGTTAAGATTATTTTTCTTATAATTTTTATTTGGAAAAATTTTAAAACGTCTGAATTATTACGTTCTATATGATACGAATAATGCGATCCTTGAATAATATTGATAATTAAATATTTGATTTGTATGTGTTGCTTGAATAAAGTTACTATTTTCATCGTAAGTGTATCAATTGTAAAAGCTTGTGTGAAGACTTTGGCTCACTGCATACGATTACGTATGTACACGATTGGTTCACCTTATTAAATGTTGATTAACTATAAACATGTTGTATGTAAACGATATCCTAAGCCGTTAGCTAATACTTATAAGAGCTTTTATAAATCTTCCTCCAAATAAATCCAAAGATATTGAAAAATGTAAGGGCATGGATAATGTGGCGAGATAGGAGGGAAATCGAGAGCAAAGTCACAAACACCTTTGTCCGCATGCATGGAAATTCCATAGGACACGATATAATAATTGCTTAATATATCCTCTTATACGTATACGTGTTTAATGCCCATGTGTACTCGTATACATAGTCGTACGTAAACGGGGGCGGGATAAATTCATCCGCTTAACGCGTAGCGACGAGTCTACATCTGCCTACATACGTATGTACACGCGGTACTCGTTTACCAATTTTAGAGCAATTGATTTGCGGCCTAAGCTTAATTCGATTGAATTTCGCATGCGCGTGCTTCTCCGCGCTCCTGAAATTTCTCTGTCGCTCTTAATGGGCATGCAGCGTGCGTATGCGCACTTGGGAGTCGGTGCACCGATAACTATGTTGTATTGAAAACTACTTGATAATGCGCCGATGTGCGTGCGTACGTGCGTGCGTGCGTGCGTGTGTTTTACGTAGCGTTCGTTACTCAAACCTTGTAACAGCAACGAGTGGTCGACTTTTGTTAGTATAGGCCTTCGAGCCTCTTCTCCGTCAACACGATTCGTGATTTCAAATTTCGAGTTTAATGCGCGTGTATGAATGTTTTATAAGAGTATACGCCGATTACATATATTTAGTACTTGAAATGGCTCTTTTTTTATTAGATTTTTTTTTTTTTTTTTTTTATCTTCATTACAATGCTTTCATTTTATAATTTAAAAGGCAATGAATTTTTATCGCGAACAATATCGTTAATTAAAGTTTTATTAAAAATATGCAAATGAGAAGATTAAAATGTTAGCAAATTTATTAAACTAAAATATGACAACAAGTGAGGCAAAATCCCTCTTTAAGGATGCTTGAAATTCTTACCAGAAATTTCACGAACCTCAACAGATTGAACCTTTCCAAAATATGAACATTATTAATTATAAAAATTTAACATTCAAGTATACGTTTTTAATTTTATACGTGTAATACGTATTAAACAACTCTCGTCAAATTCCGTTAATATTAAATAATTCGCGCATAGAATATTCAATTAATTTATCGATTGTATCAATAATTTTAAAAATAACATTAGCAAATATTATTAATGTGTATTATACATCATACGCGAAATCCTTAATATTTATTTGAAATGTAAATCATATAAGCAAATATAATTACATAATAATCATGTTGGTAAAAATAAATAAAAATAATCTTACGAGTTTTAGAATTTTATGTCGAATAGCGGTGTGTCCTTTTAAAATTAATTCCTTTTAAAAAATATCTAAATATTCTGGTGAATAGAATGAAAACTTAACAAAACCATAATTTACAATTATTTCAATACACACTATGTTAAATTTAATAATTACTTCATAATAAAATTGCATTAAAATTAGATAAGTTTATTGTTCCTTTTCCTGTTAAATATCATATAATTAGCTTCTGTATTAATATTTTATCAAATTAAGTAAACTATGGTGAGCAATTTTATAATTTATATACATGTTGCAATTTCAATTGTTAAACAATAATTGATAATAATTAATATTAATTTTATTTTTACTTATTGTAATTGCCTATTAATTATAGCAAAAGTAAATTACTTTTTCATTCTTTTTATTTTTATATGATATACTCTACTACACAGAGTCATTGGAAATTTCAATAAAATAAATTAACTTTGATAGAGTGCCAAAAAAAAATTAAATTTAAATATGTATTTGAAAAGATATTTTAACAATATAATTATGTTCTAACAGAGTTTCACCTAAATTATCTTTATCGTTCATATAAAAATTTATTGTAAAAAATTAGAATTATTAAGTGAGTAATTGCCATAAAC